TGCGAACATACTCTTTATAGAGAGTGAGAGTTAGCAAGGGTCTAGCAACAATCACGGCTTTAATGCTTGCTACGAACAAATTTTAAAAAACAACCTTGCTTGTTTTAAAAACGATTGAGGTCCTTCCCAGTTTTTAAAAATAGACCCAGTACTCCCACAGAGAATGCATCAAAGTCTCCCTGATCTACCTACCTCGATTCTATGACTTAGAAATTGGACTATTCGAGTGAGTAATATACATTTATAATATATACATATATGTCCCTGACCTATCGTAGCCTTTGAAAGATGATCACTGCAGCCTTGGGATCTGAAATACTCAGCCACCCACCCCCCTGTAATCCTAGCAGCAGGGAACACCCCTTCCCTAGTTTGAGACGAGAGAGGCGGAGGCATTGCCTATGAGACTAGACGTTTTGAACCCCACAACGTCTAGTCTCATAACACATTCATGGTTTCTACCCAATCCTACTGCTCCCTCTTCCCCTAAACTTCCCCTGCCGGGAAGGTGGCGTCTGGGAATCCTTTTGTTTTATGAGGTCTGTTCTGGGCCCAGCAGGTTAGACATGTGACTAGAAATCAGCTGCCACAAGGCTGCCGGTCTAGAAGGCAAACCTGGCCTGGCGCATGCCTGTGGGAAGGCACTGGCTTTTTGCCTTGGGAACCCAATTCCATCTTTGCTCTGATCTTTTCTTTTCTTTCTTTTTAAAATATATTTTTATTGATTTTTTACAAAGAGGAGGAGAGAGGGATAGAGAGATAGAAGGGTTGATGAGAGAGAAACATCGACCAGCTGCCTGCCTCCTGCACATCCCCTACCGGGGATGTGCCCGCAACCAATGTACATGCCCCTGACCGGAATTGAACCTGGGACCTTTCAGTCCGCAGACCGACGCTCTACCACTGAGCCAAACCGGTCTCGGCTGCTCTGATCTTTTCATCCACCGGTCGTCTGAAGCTGAAAATAAGCTGCATGGAGCACAGATTCTAAGAAATGGGAACAGGCTTTCAGATCACTACGTAGAACACTTCCTGAGTGTGTGCTGCAGGTGACCACCCCTGCAGGTGCTCTCCCCAAGAGGCTGCCTAACGTACCGGGGAAGCGGCACACTGCGTCCTCCCAGAGTCTGAGCACAGTCGCTCGGCCACGCCCCAGAGCAAGGGAAGTATGTCCAGCTCACATGCTGGCTTTGGTCGGGGGCTTGGGCCTCCCTTCCCAGGTCACAGGATCTCTGTGGGAAAATGCTCTGAATTTCAAATCTAATGCTCCATGAACTGGAAGCATCCTAGAGGCCACCACATTTTCTTGATGGCAGCAGACACTCAGAAACATCGTGTGACCCATAAAACGTCTACAAGGTCAAAGTGGCAACAACTGCAATAAAAAATGTATATGTATTCATACATGTCAGCTAAAAGATTAAATGTATATGCAAGATATTTTCTTTCCTGATTCCCTCTCTCTCCATCCCTTCCCTTCCCTTCCCTTCCCTTCCCTTCCCTTCCCTTCCCTTCCCTTCCCTTCCCTTCCCTTCCCTTCCCTTCCCTTCCCTTCCCTTCCCTTCCCTTCCCTTCCCTTCCCTTCCCTTCCCTTCCCTTCCCTTCCCTTCCCTTCCCTTCCCTTCCCTTCCCTTTCTTTCTCTTCCCTTCCCTTCTTTCTCCTTCTCCCTTCTCTCTTTCTCTACCTCCTCCTTCCCTTTCTCTCTCCATCCCTCCCTCCCTACTTTGCCATTTGGGAAGCCCAGGGGACTGATTCATATCAAAAGAATTTTAAGGCTTAAAGACTGGACTGAATATGGAGCTGCCCTACATAAAGATACGAAATCCATGCTCAAAGAGGCTTATTTTAGCGCCAGCAAAGCTCGTTGCATCTCGGAATCGCTCAAAGGCCCAGGTCAAGGCTGGTGGCCTTTGTTACTATTTTTGAAGTCAGACAAACTGTTCACCGGAAACGGTGGCTTTGTGGTAGGAGATGAAAATCGTTTGGAGCTGATACCGGAATCCTAAACTAGTGAATGTTGACATGAAATCAAACATCTGGACGAAGACACAGAAGACAAAGCCTTCTCCACATGCTTTCCAAATGGATTGGGGATAGCACGTTGGTCTCAACTACTTTTTCCCCACGTTTCATCCCAGTCTTCTCGTGTTGTGTACACAGATAGCTAAAAACCTCAAGGGGGCAGAGGGTCCATGGGTGTCATTTTTAGTTCGAATGTAGAATAATATTTGGATACTCTTATGAAGGCAAATTAAGTATTTTTTTAATTTAGAAAGACATACTACAATACTCAAGGAAAGGCTGGACTTCACCCTAAAAAGAACCGGAATATTAATGTTGACATTCAATGAAAACAAATGGAGGCAATCCGCCATTGTGAGGCCTGCAGAGTGGATGTTTGGTATGACTGCTATTTTATTTATGTATTTCTTCGTATTCTTTCACTTCTTTTACAAGGGCAATGGGAAAACTTTGGACCATAAATACACTTCCGGCAACTCTATCTTAAGCCTCTTAGCAGAAAAAGGGGCCAGGCTGTTTGTCAATGATAATGTCAGTGGGCGAGGAGAGCGGACTGGTGGAGATGGAGCTCACGTCCAACACCTGTTATTTATGAGGCACTCTACTTATGTTCCTTCAGTTCTATCCCGATGAAGACCTGTGAGGTGTAAATCCTTGGACCCATTTTATATATGAAGGATATCAACTCAGGAAAGTCCAATGGCTTGTCTAAGACCAGGGAGCGGGGAGCTGCATAGGGTGTGAACTCTGACCTGCGTGTTCTTTCCACGACAGCAGTCCAACTGCCACAGGGAACAGGGTTTCACGCAAACCAAAACGTAGGTGGATAAAATGGAATTTTGCTGCTTAAAGAGACAACTGGCCCTGACCATTTTGGCTCAGTGGATAGAGCATTGGCTTGCGTACTGAAGTTGGATTCCAGCCAAGGGCATGTACCTTGGTTGCGGGCACATCCCCAGGTGGGGGTGTACAGGAGGCAGCTGATCGATGTTTTTCTCTCATTGAGGCTTCTAACTCTATCCCTCTCCCTTCCTCTATGTAAAAAATTAATAAAATATATATATAAAAAAGAGACAACCGCATTTCACAAGAATATGCTTATGTCACCAGTAACCTACTCCTGAAATGACTTTAATCACCTGGTTGATCCCATGCAAAGAAACACACCAAAGATATTAGGAGCCGCCTTTGAGGGCTTGCTTTGCGGCCCTTCCTGTTATCACATGTAACGTCTATATTAGTCTCCCCAGACCTCTTAAATAGAAGGAGTTGTCTGATGGCACATGAACATTTTTTCCTGTTTTCAAGCCTCAAAAACTGAAAGGAATGAGCCACATGCAGAATGATCCATGCTCTGGACATAAGTCTGACATACCTTAGAATGGTGTAAGTTTTGCAAATACCCATTGTGGTCTATGCATGTTTGTCAAAACTCAACAGACTGTTTCAAGAAGTCTTATCCAAGACATTGAACTCCCAAGAATATGCTACACTGCAGTATAGATGTAATTCTTCCATATGGGTAAGAAATCATTAAAAAATATATTCTTATTGATATCAGAGAGGAAGGGAGAGGGAGAGGGAGAGATAGAAACATCAATGATAGGAGAGAATAACTGAGCGGCTGCCTCCTGCATGCCCCCTTCTGAGGATTGAGCCCACAACTTGGACACAACCGCAAACATGCCCTTGACTGGAATCGCACCCAGGACCCTTCTGCAGGCGACACTATCCACTGAGCCAAACGGGTTAGGGCTGATGCAATTCTTTATGTATTTTCTGGTGTATAAGACGACCCCCTAATTTTACAGTTAAAACATAGGTTTAGGCCTATATTCGCTTATAAGACTACCCCCCACTTCAAAGAAAAGACTTACTTTGCCATCAAGATCTGCAGGTAATTTTTGTGCAATTTTGGTCTTTTGCCCCCGATTTTCCTTTGACTTTTTTTCGGTTCAAAAGTCGTCTTATACGCCAGAAAATACGGTATTTCAAATACAGTGAACAGAGAAGAGCTGTCAAATTAAAGTGACATTTTCGAATTCTCCCGATTACACATGATTTCTTGGTTACAGCCATATCTGTTCTATCTGCTTCAAATGCAGAATGCCATTCAATTTGTACCATCTTGAAGACGTGTGTGTATTACGGGAACACTTGTTTTCTAGAATTGCTTTCATTTTCCAAGTTTGTAATACATGGGCTAGTTTTTAGACCTAATGACAAACAGGACTCTAAGAGGTATAACAGCACGAGGACATCATTGTAAGACTAACTTCTGACTAAGCCAATGGGCCAGGCACCAATTATTTTTTATTTTTTTTAATATATATATTTTATTGATATTTTACAGAGAGGAAGAGAGAGGGATAGAGAGTTAGAAACATCGATGAGAGAGAATCATCGATCAGCTGCCTCTTGCACACCCCCTACTGGGGATATGCCTGCAACCAAGGTACATGCCCTTGACCAGATTCGAACCCGGGACCTTTCAGTCCTCAGGCCGACGCTCTATCCACTGAGCCAAACTGGTCCCGGCCAATTATTTTTTTAGGTGTCTAATTTGGCTGCTATTCAAAATAGAAAACCACAAACACTGTATGGGGCACTGACATTCATTTTTCGTCCAAACAAACCCAGACTATTATGTCCTACTAGTTAGGAACAGCCATCAGAGCAACCGACAGGCCCAGGAAAGGAACGGGAGGGCTGGAAGACACTTTCTATATTTTGATTCCAGAGAAAGAAAGGGGTTCGTCAAATCTGAAAAGCGAAGTTAGTAGTTGAGCAATGACATTTTCGATACCAGGTAGAAGTGGAGTGATACAGAAAACGGAGTCTGCACAATACCTTATACTAGGTATACCTTTGTTTTTTGGCAAACATACCAAGTAGCTTAATGGAAAGTTGGGCTTTCAATACATTCCAGGTACATTTGGGAAAAGGTTTAAACTGTCCCTGGAGGGTGGCTACTCACCACATCGAAGGCGGTAAACACGTGACAGTAGTGGTGATTGGACTTCAAATCTTTCGTGATGTAAGCAAACGTGGAGAGGTCTTCTGGGTCCTGGGCGGCACAGGAGATGTTACGGATTTCATGCTCGGCAATTATGTTCTAGAAGAAAAGACATGAATGACTGTTCCTTTCCTTTGCAAACCAGCATGTTTTATTTTATTTTATTATTATTTTTTAAAATCCTCACTTGAGGATATTTTTTCCCTTGAATTTTAGAGAGAGTAGAAAGGAGAGACACATCAATTGGCGTTTCCCCCATGCCCTCGACCAGGGCTGGGAGCCTGCAACTGAGGAAGGTGCCCTTGACCGGACTTGAACTTGGGACCCTTCAGTCCGCAGGCCGATGCTCTATCCGTGAGCCAAACCAGCCAGGGCACAAACCAGCAGATTTTAGAACCAAGGCAACTGAACAGAGAAGCAGCTGCTTTCTCCCTTTCTAGAATGTTCTCCACCAGAAACCTTCAAAGTGATGCAACACACTCTCCACGGGTAGGTGTATGCCAGGACTGGAAGGCATGTCTTCATTTAATTAAAAACAATCTAAAATAGTCACATCCTGGAGCCGATGCTCACCAGGTGCTGCACACAGAAGCAGTCGGGGTTGCAGCCACTTCTTTATAAAGAGCGATTGCTAATCACTTCCCTGTCTCCATTCCCCACGGGCACCTGTGGATAGGCAGGGCGGCCTCCTCCTGCCGCAGTCTGCCTCAAGGAGGCTGGAACTCTGCCCCAAGGAGGCTGACCCGCACCATCGTCCCAGCAGACAGGCAGAAGCATCAAAGTGCGATCTCTCTCTCTCAAAAAAAAATTTTTTTATTGATTTCAGAGAAGAAAGGAGAGGGAAGGAGGGAGGGAGGGAGAAAAAGAGGGAGGGAGGGAGGAAGGGAGGGAGGGAGGGAAGAAGGGAGAGAGAGATAGAGTGAGAGAGAGAGAGAGAGAGAGGGAAATATCAACGATGAGAGAATCATTGATTGGCTGCCTCCTGTATGCTCCCCACTGGGGATCAAGCCCACAACCCGGGCATGTGCCCTTGACCAGAATCGAACCTGGGACCCATTAGTCCACAGGTTTACGTTCTATCCATTGAGCCAAACTGGCTAGGGCAAGGTGCTGTCTTTTGACTTCATGCAGGCTAAGGTGTAGGGGTGGGCTGAGGGAAAGGCCACAATCACTATCTGGGCCTTGGATGCCTTGTTTGAGGTGGGGTTTTAGGGGTGACACTATGTACAACTTTGAGTGGTACTGGGGTTCTCATCAGCTTACAGGTGAGGAAATGGTACCCAGAGCCCGGAAGTGCTTTAGGCAAGACATGTGGTAGAGCTGGGATTGTAATGTGGGGTTGCCTGACTAGAGTCCAGGCTCTTTCAAATAACTTTAAAAAATATATTTTTATTGATTTCAGAGAGGAAGGGAGAGATAGAAACATTGGGGGGAAAAGAAGAAGAAGAAACATCTATGATGAGAGAGAATCTTCGATCGACTGCCTCTTACATGCTTCACAGTGGGGATCAAGCCCGCAACCTGGGCATGTGACCTCCTGGTTCATAGGTCAGCATTCAACCACTAAGCCACACTGGCTGGGCTCTTATTTAAATATTTGATTCCCCTCATCCCTACCCAGCTCTCACTGGTTTAACATAATTTCATTTTTCTCTCTGTAGCATTTTTAATGCCATCCCTCTGCCAGCACCCTTATCCCAACCTGCCTCTGAGGATCACTGGTGGGAGGAGTGAGGAAAGGTGTAAAAACCATTATCCTGACGCACAAGATGACTAAGGAGCATCGTTGGTTGCAGATCTCTGCCAGAAATTTCTTTGGACACATAGATGTATTTAAAAAGCAAAAATTTTCACATAACCATGCAATCATTTTTTATCTTGTGATATCTCCTTTATGTTTTCTGCAGTTGTCATAGATCTAACACCCTCAATGCTTTAGTTAGCCTAATTGGGTTTTAATTGCACAGTCTTAAATAACCTGTCGGCAATCTAATGTTCCATGTATACCCATCAATGTCTAAAGAGACATACAAAATGTCCTTCCCTGCCAGCAGCCCCAGCGAGGACTTCATGTCCCTCACCCTCCCGAGCTGTGTGGCTGGGAAGCAATTAGAGAATTAACACATAAAAGAAAATGAAATTAAGACATCCTTCACCGGGGGCATGTCTGTTGACATTACATGCAGCGCTCTGTCAACTATAACTCAAATTGAAATTGGAATCCCATAAACAAGTAACATCCTATTGAAAGATACACGGTTTCAAAACAGAAGGTCATGGAGCTGCTTCTGGCATTCAGAGAGCATTTGAGTAGAAATAGAAATTAGGAAGAAGGGAGTCTTAAAATGAATTTAAAAATAATAAGATCTACAAAGTCTTTACAGGTACTGTGGAGCAGGTGCTGAGAGCCTCTACCATCATTTTAATTGGGGGGCTGTCGATACCTCGGGAAGTCTGGGTGGATCTGGTCTCACCTGTCCAGGATTCACTATTACTGGGAACAGAACTTTGGCTCCATATGTTAACTAAATTGGCATTTCATGTTCTGTTTTTTTTTTTTTTTTTTTTTTTTTTGTGTGTGTGTGTGTTAATCCTTACCCAAGGACATTTTCCCCATTGATTTTTAGAGAGTGGAAGGAAGGGAGGGGAAAAGACACACAGAGAGAAACATTGATGTGAGAGACACATCATTTGGTTGCCTCCCCATTGCACCCCAACCCAGCTAGTGATTGAGTTGGGGATGGAGCCTGCAACTGAGGTACATGCCCTTGACTGGAATCAAACCTGTAATCCTTTAGTCTGAGCCAAACTGGCTAGGGCCATTTTGTATCCTTGAGATCATTTAAAGTGGATCAACTTCTTGGGAAAGCATTACAGTGAAAAGTGCCCCATGGTTATTATTGCACTAAATTCCCTGAATCTTGCCAAATGATAAGAAGTCATACTTGATGATTTTCAATGGTGTATGATAGCATTGTGGACCTGGGCCTGTGTAGGGAGTTTTTATTTATTTATTTTTTAAATTTTAAAATTGATTTCAGAGAGGAAGGGAGAGGGAGAAAGAGATAGAAACATCCATGATAAGAAGGAATCATTGATTGGCTGCTTCCTGCATGCCCCCTCCTAGGGATGGAGCCTACCCCCCAGGCATGTGCCCTTGACCAGAATTGAACCTGACTTCCTGGTTCATAGGTTGACACTCATCCCCACTGAGCCATGCCAGCCGGGCTAGGGAGTTTTTTTTTTCTTTTTCTTTTTCTTTCTTTCTTTCTTTCCTTTTTTTTTTTTTTAAGCAAAACTTGATATATCCACAGTGCCAAAATGTGGTGAGAACCTGAGATCTCACTACTGAAAAACTGACATCATCATAAGGGGCAGGTGACACACCTCAGTTTAAAACGAACTCCTACATTGCTCAGCTCCCAAACATATGCATGCTCTAAGGAGCCTAGAGTTTTATAAAGGCGCAAGAGAAGGACGAGGAGGGGCTCACTCTGCCCTGTCTCTGGGATAGAAAGTTGGGCAAAAACTACCTCCTTCAACAAGGAGAGGCTGTGGGTCCACCTGTTGCCTTTCATCGTGTTGAAGAACAGCTGAAAAGGTGCTTCTCCGGCCCATGCAGAGCAGCAGTTTTGGTCCAGACAATAATAGAGCGGCTCTGAGAAGGAGGTGTGGCAATGAAGTGATGGAGCCTACACCGGCCTCTACCTGCTTTCCTTGCTCTGGGCTCCGACAGGTAGGGACCCCGAGGCCGGCCTAGCGGCTCCGGCCCAGGACTAACCTGAGACACCTACAGAGTAGGTGATGCTAATGAGCACAGAACACATGCTCCATGGGCTCTTAATCTGACTTCAAAACACAACAGGCACTTGTTTAGGCAAATGTTCTATTTTGTGCCTAAAAACTAGGATACGCCCTATTTGAACTTGGCATTCAAAACAAGCAAACAAACAAAACCCAAACCCCGGTGCGGGCCGTTCCTAATTTAGCCAGGTGCAAAGATTGAGGAGGCCGGGCAGGAGGGGGCCGGATACAGCCCACCCTCATCCGAGCTCTGGACATGGGTATGTGTCACCTCTGGGAGACCCTGCTGACTAAACGGTCACAGTCCCTTGGGCCGAATGCTACGTCAGAGCTGCCTCTGAGCTATGGAGCTACATGATGTGCTTCATCTACAACATTTTGGTACTAAATCAATTTCAAGTTCCATTTTTAAATTAAAAAAAATATATATTATATATTGATTTCAGAGAGGAAGGGAGAGAGGGAGAGAGAGAGAAAAAAAAATCAATGATGACAGAGAGTCACTGATGGGCTGCCTCCTGCATACCCCACTGGGGAGCATACATGAAACCCGGGCATGTGTCCTTGACTGGAATCAAACCCAGGACCCTTCAGTCCACAGGTCAATTCTCTATCCACTGAGTCAAACTGGCTAGGGCCAAATTACATTTTTAACTTAAGATCATTTTCCACTCTTCCTTCTTGAAGCAAGATTCATGATTTGTTTCTAAGTTATCAGGCAATAAATTTGAGTTTACAACTAGGTAGCTAACCCTTCCTCTTGAACTCAGCCAAAGCCACTTACTAACTAGAATAAAAGAGAAAGAATGCTTTTCAGAAGGGTTTAGTTTTCACAGATCTAATGGGGTCCAGAGTAATTAACACAACCATCTGTTATTTCTAACTAGTTGGTGGAAAGCAGCTGTGGAGTAACAGAAAAGCGTTAGGCTAGGGCAGTAGTCGCAAACCATAGCTCGCGAGCCACATGCTCTTTGGTCTCTTGAGTGTTCTAACTCCACTTCAAAATAGACTCACCCAGGATGAAAACTGACTTCTACACATGGGCCACCAAGTTTCAAATTGCACTGTACATGCATGCCCGCACGTGGTATTTTGTGGAAGAGCCACACTTAAAGGGCCAAAGAGCTGCATGTGGCTTGTGAGCTGCTGTTTGCTGACCACTGGGCTAGGGGGTGGGAAAGTCAAGTTTTAGTCCTTCTCCAAGACCAATTGGCTGTGTGACTGCGGGGCAGTTCCTTAACCACTCTACTTGTCCAGGTCAGGTTGAATCAACCCCTCAATTGTACCAGGGCAGAGTTAAAGAGATATAGTGGTTAGGAGAGGGCTGTTTATGAAGAAAGTGCAAGGAAAACATCTACACTAATAAAAGAGAAAGATGCAAATTGGCCATACCTCCACAATGCCTACCAGCCAATCAGGAGTGAGTATACAAATTAACCAAACAAAGTGGTAGGTTAATTTGCATACACAGGCATGGAGTGAAGACTGAAGGCTCCGCCTGAGTGAAGACTGAGACTGAAGACTGAGGCTCGGCTGTGGCTGGAGCCAAGCCTGAAGGCTGAAGACTTGGCTCCACTGCAGCCTGGGTCTTGGGTGCCCTAGGAAAACTGGTGCCAGCAGCCAGGGGAAAGAAGGCCCTTCATGCAATGGGGCCTCTAGTCAAATATAAATGTGATTGGGTCGAGCCTAATTACAGTCCTAGTGGTCACTAGTAACTAAAGGTGCCAAGTCTTCCAATATATATCTACATGTTGCACGTCCTTCTCTTCAAATCAAAGTGCTCACCAAGATGACACTTCCCAGGGGAGAAATCTCTGGTACAGACCAACAGCAGGACTCTGGAGTTTATGTACCTGCTCCTTTCTGGCTGTGGGCATTAGAGGTCATTTTTTTTTTGCTGCAGAACAGAGTGTCATACAAAGATGCCACTGCAAACACTGCTAGCATCTAGGTGTCTGAGCATAGTTCCTTCCATGCCACAACCTGAGGGGTCAGAGTCCTTTAATTGTGGCTCCTCCATGACTTCTGAAATCAGTCCTTCAGCCCTGGTTGGTGGTAGTGCTGCTCAGCCTTCTATAGTCAAACCCCACCAGTGTGGCGTTGCACCCTTGCTTTTTTCTACTCTTCCAAATACTGCATGTCTACTTTAGTCCTCACACAGCAAATCCTAGACTACTATCCTGAGTCTCCTGCTCTCTCCCAATCCGTTGTCAGATTGGGGCAGATCAACTACTTTGCAGGACCCTGGGAGGGGGACCCTGGATAGCCAGTTGAGGTCAATGTCCCCACATTACTGAAGAATCCAGGCACAGCCCTGGCCTATGTAGCTCAGTTGGTTGGGTGTCAACCCCATGCATGAAAAGATTTGATTCCTGGTCAGGGCATATGCCTGGATTGTAGGCTTGATCCCTAGTAGGGGGTATGTAGGAGACAGCCTATTAATATTCTGCTATCACATTGATGTTTCTTTTTCTCTCTCCCTGTCCCTTCCTCTCTCTCAAAATCATATAAAGAAAATATATATAAAAAGAAAAATCAATAAAATATACATAAAAAAGAAAAATCCAGGCACATAGTCATATAGTCATAAAGAGGCTGGCTCCACCTATCACCAACATATGCACCTTGCCTTTGCTCTAGATTTGAAAATATGCAGAGGACCACCATGAGGACTTAAAAGATATGCTGGCCTTCTTTATTTAGTGTCTTTATTCACCCCAAATTACTTTTTGCATTCCTCTTGGTGCTTATACATTTTTAAACAGTAGTATATTGTACTTTCTTTTTTTGGTACATATAGTACTTCCAAAGAGAAGTCATCTGTGAGCAGAGATCTATCTAATTATTGGCGATTGAAACTTGCTAAGGTTGTTCATCTAAGTGAGTGTCAAACTCACACACTGAAAATATATCGCTATTCTTGGCTTTCAAATGCAGATGGGGTGGAGACAGTTGCTCCAGGTTAGAAAAAACTCCAAAAGCCAGAGCCATTCTTGAAATATAGACATAGTGGTGGCAATGATAGTTTCAGTGAGTTTGAGGACTTTTAAAATCAACTGACTATCATTTAAGGATAACACAAGTTTATGCTCCAATAAAAATGTTTCCCAGAAATAAAAAAAACAAATCAATTGGGATTTTTCTGATTTAGTCTCCACAATTGACCAACAGTAACCGTCACTAACCCACTGCAGAGTTGAAACTAACGTTGCACGTATAGACTTTGATATTGTCAGCCAGCATGATCATGCCAGGTTAGAAGCCTGCTTGGTTTTCAGAACTGTTTCTAAACCAGGGAGGTTGTTTCCTTAAGTAGATTTGGGGGCTTGTGCATATTTGATTGCTGGTGGCAATCCCCTTCATTACAGAAAAAAAATCAAGAAAACTGCGAATTGGTTGATTCAGATGCTTAGGTTTAGTATAGACACCCAAGAGTCACCCTGCCCATGGGACTTCCCGTGGCATCTGAACCTGGCTGCCATGGCCCTAAGGTACCCTTACGTTCACCTGTTCCATGACTTTCAGCTTTCAGCAGGGAGGTCTGGGTAGAGAAGTCCAGAAAACAAATGGTATTCACCAGTGGTCATCACCTCATTCCCCTTCTTCTTTACTTTGTCAGTTGGAAGGTGTAGAAATGAAACACATGGACATTGGGGGTCTTGTGAGAAGGAGCCAGTCAGCTTTGCGTTTAGGGAGAATGACCGTGTCCACACCCAAGCTTTCTGGCACTGTCACCTTCGTCAAGAAGGGAAACTGCAGAACACTTTTAAGTAAAATGCAACCCAGTTGTCCACACTCAGAATTCAGGCCCTTAACTCTTCCCTCTGGGAGTATGAAGTCCCAGCAGAGCCCAGCAGGGACTGTTTGGCTTTCTTTTCTGATTGTGTCTCTTAAGAAAACAACACAGCCCAGCTGGCATGGCTAAATTGTTGGGCGTCAACCTATGAACCAGGAGGTCATGGTTCAATTCCTAGATTTCCGATTAAGTCTCCACAGTGTGGGGCCTGTAGGAGGCAGCTGATCAATGATTCTCATCATTGATGTTTCTCTCCCTCTCCCTTTGTCTCTGAAATAAAAAATAACAGTACTAAATAAAGAAAACAATACAGCTGTGATTCTCTTTTCCATCTCAGTAGCCGAGATTGAAATGCATTTATAAATTATCGACGTCAGAAAATGTGTTCCTTGGCAAGGTTTTCATTACATGTATCAAATGAGAGGGCATATGCCTCTAGAGAAATGGAAAGTCAAATGTCCAACAGGATGGCATTGCTTGATTTTCATTCTATACACACTTTTTTAATGTTCTAATGTCCTCTGGATCCAAAGGGACAAGCCACGATCTATTAGAGAAGAATCCATAGACACGTGAAAGCAGAGTATGTATAGCAATCCTAGGTCAAGTCCCTATAATGACTTGTGCCCTTCTGTACACATGTGTGAGCGTGTCTGCAGTTGTGTTTAGGGAGCAGGAAGTTCAGGGAGTGGGGAGTGACTAACATGGAGCATATTGGTCACGATGGGAAGTAAAGGACGTGAGATCACATACTCAGGGCTGAACCCAGTACCTAAGCCACGGAGAGGTGCAGTACCCACCTTATTTGTTGCATCAATAAATTTGACTCCTTTATATGAGACTGAAAGAATAATAGTAGGGACCTTCTTCATTTGCTCGGTGGACTTCTGAAATTAAAATTAGAAAGCTGTTAGAGCAGTTTGCGTTGCATGGCAACTGAAGCACATAATTTTTTCTCTTGAAAAAAATAAAAATGAGCTCTACACACACACATACATGCACCAAACACACTCTCATTTAAATGTTACGTCTCCCTTCTCCTGGGCTTAGCTACGGTTTGGGCTTAAACAGAGTCTGTCTTGCACTTGAGGCTCTGGAAGGAGCTCGCTCTGCTGCATCACGTGGATGAAGGGACACCAACCCTCCCTCCCCCCACCCAAAGGAAAAATGCATGGCACTGCCTCTCACGGTGATCACAAGCAACGATTCTTCCGGCTCGAATTAGACCATGTCAAGTTTAACTCCAAGGGTGAGGTTAGCATGAATAAAATATACACCAGCTCTTCTTTTTTCCTAGTCACTCTCTTTCTTCAGGGCACAAGGTCTGTCTAAATACATCAAAAAGGGATTTAAACTACATCGCCATGCATTTTTCTTGACCCTAGCCAAATCTGTGACAGCTGATCGTATATTTATAGCAGAATCACCGTGGCCACACAGGATGTAATGCTGCCCGTGACAACTAAGCCGTCTGGGTGTGGCCTTTGCTCGCTTGGAGCCGCAGCAACCCCGGCAGGTCCAGGCAGCCTACTTAGTCATTTAGCGCTGCTCCGTTCTCTTAGGCCAAGTTCTCACGATAGATGCTCATACTGACGTAACACACTCACGGTGTGCAGCTTACAGCTTCATGCATCTGCAAGAAGTTTCTGCACAATTTAGTATGTGCCTCTTCTGTTTAGTTGTACCACCCATCACAGGTCACTGACAGTCTGTTTACTTCTTCCCCGCTATGGATACTCCCCTCACAATTACACCCCACATCCAGAAGGACCTACCTGACAGTTAGCCTGATGCGTTTTCCAAACAAGACAGGTGGGAACGTAACGGGAAAGAAAACAGATAAATAGGTGAGGGAAACCATTTCAGTAATCTGCCAACTGCACATGTTCATTAAAAAGTAAACAGAAGGGGCTTGATGGCTCTCTGGATGCAGCGAAACCGTTATTTTAGAAACGGTGCAAGCTTTCCAGGCCCGTCTCCCTGTATCTTCTGTTTGCTCATCATTCTGTTTACTGCACTGCAGTCTTATGACTGACACGCAGGAACCTTCCACTGTGAGCGGTCCAATACCACCCCCCCCCTCGTCTTGTGTATATTAAGGGAGTTGGGAGACAATAGGAACGTTTTTTGATTTCTTCATTTACATGTACTTTCCAATTTTCTGTTTTTTGAATTCTAACATGGGACCAGAATGAAAGGAAGCTTTTAGTTGGATAGTGTGAATGATAGCCATTGAACTCAATAATGATGATTATACTGCCTCTCTCATTTGAGCCACTAAAAAGGTGATTTTGTCCTGGTTATTTCAACACATCTTTTTGGTAGTTACTATACCCATTTCAAAGATAAAGATATTGGATTGCTAAGAGGATTCCTACTTAGTATTTATTAGGTGTTTCATACAGTATCAAAAAGCAACTCTTTTGAAGGGCTTTTTTGTTAATCCTCAACTGAGAAAATTTTTTTCCATTGATTTTTAGAGAGAGTGGAAGGGAGGGAAGGAGAAGGAAGACAAGGAGAAGGGAGGAGAGTGGGGGAGGGAGGGATACAGAGAGGGGAGAGAGAGAGAGGGGGGGGGGGAGGGAGAGAGACATCTGTGTGAGAGAGACACATGGATTGGATGCCTCCCTCACACACCCCAATCAGGGCTGGGGATCAAACCTTCAACCCAGGTACGTGTCCTTGACCAGGAATAGAACCTGAGACCCTCCAGTGCTTTAACTACTGAGCAACACGGACCAAGGATTGAAGGGCTTTTTATTTATTTATTTTATTATTATTATTTTTTTAATATATATTTTATTGATTTTTTTTTTTTTTACAGAGAGGAAAGGAGAGGGATTGAGAGTCAGAAACATCGATGAGAGAGAGCCATCGACCAGCTGCCTCCTGCACACCCCCTACTGGGGATGTGCCGGCAACCAGGGTACATGCCCTTGACCGGAATCGAACCCGGGACCTTTCAGTCCCCAAGCCGACGCTCTATCCATTGAGCCAAACCGGTTTCGGCTGAAGGGCTTTTTAACTAGTTTTAAAATTACCCAGACTCACCAATTTTCTTTTGTGATTGCAAAAAAGGATACTATGAAATTGGGATGTAAGGTTAGATATTTTTACCTTTTTAATGCTTTATGCAATCAACCCTTAAGCATGTGCAAGATAAATCACAGGCCAGCTATGAGAAATGATGTGCAGTGTGCTGACATTAACGCAAAGAGGTGGGCTGAACTCCGGAAAGGGAGAGGGCTACGGCAGGCTTGGTGGGATGAATGTGTGGTTTGTGAAGAATTCTTCGCAAAGAGTAACAATGGCTTGCAACTAAACACCTCGCCCATCTCTTGCCAAGAATATATTCTCCCGAACAGATCTATTGGTAACATGAAACAATATTTAACTAACACAAGGTTAAAATATCAACATTTATGTAGTAATTAAGACCCCCCCTCCCAAATTAAAACAAGAAAAACTCATTTGTCATTCATTTTAGCAGTTGAGTGGTTATATTAGGCAGCTCATGGGACTCTGGAAAAACTCAGAATCTATGTCAGGGGACGTGAAACATACCTCAAATTGTGTGCTAGCTGTAGCTGGCTGAAAAGGGCTGTCTGAAGGCTGGGTTGAGAAGGATTCTGAGCCTGTGTCTGGGCTGGTGGGAAAAAGGGCTGGGGATGATGTTGCTCTGGGAGAGAGGCAGAGTAGCACATTCCTGGCCTGGTCTGATACAGTGAACAGCTACAATACAAGTATCCGCTAATGTGACAGAGATATGAACAGACTACTGAGCAGGGAGAGACTCATTTTGCATGAGAGAGTGGGACAATTCATCCATCCATCCATCCATCCATCCATCCATCCATCCATCCATCCATCTATCCAACACTAATTGCCTGCAAGCTGGCTCTTAAAAGACAAATAGGAGCTGGGCTGGCGTGGCTCAGGGGCTGAGCATTTGGTTCAATTCTAGGTCAGGGCACATGTCTGGGGTTGTGGGCTCCATCTCCAGTAGGGGGAGTGCAGGAAGCATCCAGTCAATTATCCTCCTTCATCATTGATGTTTCTATCTCTCTTTCTCTTGCTTTCCCTTAATCTCTAAAATCAATTACATATGACAAACAGGAATTTCTAGGTGGCAAAGCAGGACAAAAGAGGCTGTTTTAGCAGCAGGATCAACATACACATACACACATGTCTGGAACTAAGGAAGAATGTGGCAGGTGTAGGCCACTGGTGGGAGATGAGGCTGGTGCAGTAGGTTTGGAAGACTGTGACTTGCTGTGCTTAGCTAGGATCCATTGGCAGCTTTTAAGGAGGGAGTGAGACAGACAAATCAGTGCTGCGGAGAGATGGCTCTGATGGTTGGATGGACAGGAACAAGGAGAGGATGGGTGCAGGGGGGCAGGAAGCTCTGGTACAAACCCAACGAGGGAGCCTAAGCACCTGGGCTGAAGTAGAGGCACTGGAGAGTGCACCAGGGAGTCACAGTTCCGATGAGGAGGCATCAAGAGGATCTGCTAACTGATCCACCCGGAGATGAGTGAGTGAGGATGTCTCGGGTAAAGAGGCCATTTGCCGAGATAAGGACTAAGGGGAGCACGCTTTTGCACACAATCCTTTTGAATGCGCTCAGTTTGATCATCGATAGGAAATCAGAAATAAGAATCAGATCTGGGACCCTGGCTCACGTGGCTCAGTTGGTTGAGTGTCATCCCATGCACCGAAAGGTTGCCGGTCCGATTCCCAGTCAGGGAATGTATCTTACTAAGGTTGCAAGTTTGATCTTTTGTTGGGGTGTGTGTGAAAGGCAATTGTTCTCTCTCTCTCTCTCTCTCTCTCTCTCTCTCTCTCTCTCTCTCTCTCTGTATAGTCAATAAAAACATCTCCAACCCCCTTGCTAAGTGCACAAATGTCATGCACTGGGCCTCTAGTGTATACTGGTATATTGATCTGAAAATCCACCCACACAGAGGATATGGCTGAAGAGATGGTAGCAGAGGGAGTGGCTGAAGAGATGGTAGCAGAGGGAATGAGCAAAAGGAGGTCTCAGAACCACCCCTGAGGAAGGAGAATATTTACCAGCTGCAGCAGGAAGAGGAGTCCATGAAAGAACCTGAAACAGAGCTGGAAGCAGCCTGAGAGCTGGAAGTCGAGAAGAAGATTCCTTCAGAGGTAGGAACTGTGCCTGATGCCCTGAGGACTGAGGAGGCCGAGAAATCTGTGCGTGGCTTAGTGGCTGGCTCACGGAGGGGCTGTTACTTTTATAGAGTCTCCTGGGCGAAATCTCTGGCGTTAGCAGCTAGAAAATTTGTTGCTGGGTTTATTAAGAGCTGCTTCAGAATGGTGGCAGCGGACAAAGGAAAGAACACAGTGAATGTCCGTGAAAAGGAGTGGCGAGACGGCGCAGTCAGTGGGTCAGGACACTCTCTCAGGCTGAAATGAAGGCGTCAGTGGGGATTTCTGTCCTGATACAAGGATTCCACATAGTCTGCTCAGCCGTGCTGAACAAAGAAGAGAAGATAAAGGACGGCCATTTCTTTTTCTTTCAAGGGTGCCAAGAATCCCTGTCTCCACACTGGAGCGGGCTGGGGTGCCGATGATACAGGTTGTGACTGGCCTGTGTGAATGACCAACAGTGCTGGGGGTGACTACACATTCCCTTGGCACAGATACTGCTCAGGTTACAGCACTCATTGCCAGGCAGCACTGGTTTCTAGGGCCTGTCTCTCTGCAGCTTTGCTGGGGAGTTCATACTCCCATCTGTGTATGTTAAGAATCCAAGCTTTATTTATTTGTATGAGTTTTTGTTGTTGTTTGTTGGTTTTTGGTTAATCCTCACCCAATGGATATTTTTCCATTGAATTTTAGAAAGAGTGGAAGAGGGAAAGATAGAAACATTGATTGAAACACATCGATTGGTTGCCTCCTGCATGAGCCCTGATCAGGGCCCAGGCCAGGGAGAAACTGCAGCCTTGACTAGAATAGAACCCAGGACCCTTTGGTCTGCAAGCCAATGCTCTACCCACTGAGCCAAACTGGCTAGGGTCAAGCCTTATTTATTTGTGTAAACTGAATTGAACCGGTGACCTCTTAGTGTATGGGATGATGCTCAATCCACTGATCCATACCAGCTGGGCAAAACTGCCATATTTAAGGGTCCAAAATGGCTAACTATGAGCCATTTCTCAGGGTTCCATGTACCAGCTGCTGAAATCCGTGACAGTTGAATGAGCAAATGAGTTCATGTATGATAATGAGCATAGTGCTGGACTGACAGTTTCCACAGTGCCAGCTCCTCCACACACACAGCTCAGCAAATGCTAGAGAACCTCAGTGCCCGGAGCCAGGCATGGAGACCTTGAAGGAACTTGGAGAACCACAGAATGTGATTAAAGACACACTGCAGATCTTGTGATTTTTCCAGCCTCAGGGAGAGAAGCCTTCATGTCTGCAACAGAAACCTAGCTCCAATGGCAAGCGCTGAGATGAGGAAGGACTTCCTGAGAGGGCAGCTGGGAAGCTTCTCCCTCGGGATGACTAGAGGGCTATGGCAGTGGTGGCCCACCTTCTGGACCTCACGGACCACCACTGGTTGGTGATCACTGTCTCAGAAACAGTTCGGACATTTACCTGTCACTCATCATGACTTGGGGTAAGTCTCTTTTGGCTGGGAAACCCAGCTACATGACCTCTCAAGGTCTTTTCTGGCCAGGGGAACTCTGATACAGAGGCTGGGCAAACGCCGAGCCTGTGGGAGACCATGTGACACAAACAGACCATGGGCAAGCGGCCA